GCCCTAGCGCCACCGCCGTCGGATCGCGTGCTGAGACCGAGGCCCAGTCGGCAGGTAATTTTTTCCCTCTTTTGTGTCATTTTGTGCTGGGAAAAGCGAGAGAGAGGGTACTTGCACATTAACCTGTAAATTGTCGATTTATCCGCTGAAACACCATTCAAAGACAGGGAAGCGAATCGAAGTTCATGTCGAAATTTATTCAACTGCAAACTATTGGTACAAGTTTAGTATTCACTTTTTTTCCGCTGCGATATCCTGGTCCCTAAGGCAATTTTGCAGAGAACTTGTAATATGGAATTCCAGTGCTTGGCCGTGGATACCGCAAATAGCATGTTGCTTCGATGCCACTAGTTCTCTGCAGGACTGGTATTCCCCATTCTCAGGCATCTGGCCTGTCCATACCAGCTGCCTGGCCGTCGAAAAGTGTCATCAAGCTATGCTGTTAACTAGCCAGGCATCAGTCTGTTTGGTTAGACCGAACAGTGTGATTGCATATTTTTAGGTTTCAGGTTGGGCCACTTCTCGGTAAGCTACTACAAGCATAAAACCCAAAGCTAACTTTGCTAACGAATTTTTCATCGTAAATTCAAATACGGAACAGACAAATATGGAGTTGCTAGTGTCCAGAATGCCTTCTTGTATGGATAACATGACCATTTCTGCACTGCTGCTTTACTGGTTATCAGCGAATGACCTAAGCGCGAAATCTAGCACCTGCAGTCATACGTACCGCGGAAGTAATCTTGATTGACCCCTGTTACTTTACCGGACCGTTTGGCCTGAATGAAGGGGTTCTTATTTGAACCATTATTCCTCCTCCTCAGCGCGGTGATTAGAGACTAAATAATTCCAAGATTAAAACAGAAAAACAGATCTGTTTACCCCGCTTGCTTACTTTTGATTGAGGTAGTAGCCTGGATCTGCCCATCTCCTGGCGTGTGCATTTCCGGCCTTTACCAGCTACTTCTGATAACTACTATACCAAAATTCAAACAGTCTCAGACGCCTGAAAGTCTTCGGTAACTAGTTAGTGTTCCCATCGTCCTAGTCCTGTATGCTTACCTCCTCGCAGACAGACTAGCAGCTGGCGGTGCCACCCGAATACACCTGCCAGTTTTTCG